GCTGCTCTCACAGGTTTCATTTTAATCTGGACAGTAATGAAAAAATGCATTAAGTTCCTCCCGAGATACAGCTCTCCATAACCTTGAATTAGTGCAGCTATATTGAGTTCTGCATACATTTTTAACTCATTCTGAATTATTAGTGTTCTTTTTGGCATTTAATTTTATATATCTCTTGTCATGTGTGATCTGTTGGACACTGAGCTGTAGTGTAGCCTGTGACAGTTTTTTAAAATACATTTGAGCTAATATTTGTATTGCTTGCTCTGCTGTTATGACACATTTGTGTTGAATTACTATTGTAATTTTATGGCTGTAAACATTAGAATTGAAATCGATTTTTTTTCCAGTGTCATTTTTTGTACAGTATCTGTTTTTGGCTCCTGGAAGAACAGCGAAAATTTTCCTGAGGCGGGAAGCAGCAGCATCCTTCGCTTCAGGAAAACTGCAGTGGGGATTTTTTTGTATTAATTTCACCTTTAATTTAGTTTCCTTTCTTTCCCAGATGGTCCTTCATTAGTCTGCTCCATGACTATCAGCCATGAGTTGTTGTAACAGGCACCATCGTATAGAGACTGCATGCATGTTAAGTTCTAGAGCACCGGCAAAAGGGCTCCGCCTTCCCCTGTGAAACCTGAAACTGCCGCATTAATAGGGTGGTCATTTAATTCGCTTGTGAATAGTTATGAAACAGAACCTGCAGTTTCTGCCTCCCATGGCTGCCAGACTCGTTCTGACCATCTGGTGATGGTCTGCAGCTTCTCCTCGTTTTTCTGCAGCTCTCTCAGCTTGGGTTACACAGGGCAGAATAAGGATGGTGTGGTGCGGTGCTGCAGTGGTTAGCAGTGCTGCCTCATGCCTCTGGGTCCAGGGTTCGAGTCTCCAGCAGGGTTCCAGGTGTGTGGAGTTTGCAGGTTCTCCATGTGTTGTCGTGGGGTTTCCTTCAGGTACTCCGGTTTTCCCCCGCAGTCCAAAAACATGCTGAGGTTGACTGGAGTTTGTTCTGATACCGGAGCATCTAATCTGTTCTTTGGGGGGGGGCGTGTAAAATTCAGGAACAATAGAGTACAGGTCCCATGTGAAACAATGCCATTGTGCTTCATAATAAGGTAATTTATCACTACTGCACTGACGATCTCGACCGGTGTAGAGAGAATACATGTGACCTCCATGGATTTATGTAAAACACACCAACAGTGTAATGATCAGAATTCAGGAGCGATGACTGGAGCCCAGTGGGCCGTCTTCTGCATGCCCATTGGCCATCCAGCTTTGAGCGATTATGATTGGACGCTGATTACACTGGATGCTGTCTTTTTCTCCCTTCGCTGCAAGAGCCTTTGGTATTTCCCTCGTTTTCTGGGTCTGAGCTCCAGACAACAGACCTCCAACATATTATTGGAGGGGGGGGGGCTGCTTGCTTCCATTCCCTTCACCTCTTTCTTTGAAAGCAGATACTCATTTATTTTCATGGCCCTTTATGGGGGCACCAGGAAAGAAGGAGGAGCTACTCTTAGTTACTGGGGGGGGGGGGGGGGATTAAGTCTATCAGCCAAACGACAGCGGTAACGCAAAGTTGGGAGCCTCATCCTGCACGTCCTGCACAGAAACACTCTGAATGTGATTTACCTGTTGGTGGGCAAACATGTTTAGTTAGTGAAAGTTTGGCAAATATATCCTTAAAATGTACATATAACTGATCACATGCCCTTGATTAAACAAATGCCGGTGCAGGCTTCACATCTAGCAGAGGTTTGGCCCAAATAATACGCAGCCTCTCATTCAGTGTGAAACAGAGAGGAGCTGAAAGAATAAATGTACCTGGGAAGCCCATTCACAGGAGGGTTTGGGTCCCGCTGGATCAGACCCGGACCGGAGCCTCTGCATGGACTGCGGTCCGGTTTGAGTATCAAAGGAATCAATGTGAACACAAACGGGGGCACTTATCATCAGGCAGAGCGTAAAGCCCCTAATGCGTCAGCGTTTGCGGAAATTAGTACAGAGCAGCCAGGGTTCACACGCAGCCAGGGTTCACACGCAGCCAGGGTTCACACGCAGCCGGCCTCACACGCAGCCAGGGTTCACACGCAGCCAGGGTTCACACGCAGCCAGGGTTCACACGCAGCCAGCCTCAAAACCAACCAGGCCTCACACGCAGCCAGGGTTCACACGCAGCCAGGGTTCACACGCAGCCAGGGTTCACACGCAGCCGGCCTCACACGCAGCCAGGGTTCACACGCAGCCAGGGTTCACACGCAGCCAGGGTTCACACGCACACAGCCGGCTTCACACGCACGCAGCCGGCTTCACACGCACGCAGCCGGCTTCACACGCACGCAGCCGGCTTCACACGCACGCAGCCGGCTTCACATGCAGCCAGGGTTCATACGCAGCCGGCTTCACACGCAGCCAGGGTTCACACGCAGCCGGCCTCACACGCACGCAGCCGGCTTCACACGCAGCCAGGGTTCACACGCAGCCGGCTTGTAATCGCACTGACACTGGTGACACATGGTGATTTTTGGTATCATGCAAAATGGAACTGAGTTTTCTGTTTCCTTCCATAGCTGACTCTCTATACCGGGAGCGTGTGAAACCAGGAATCCTGTTTTTTTCTAGCATTCATAACTAAAATTACGGGCACCAGAGTATTTTTATCTGCATATTCCTGGGTGCTGTTTCATTATTTAGAATTAAACATAAAACATTAGTGTCATTGACTCAATATAAAATTAAGAGTGACAGCAGGGGCTTTTGGGGAAAAAAGGAAGGATTAATCACTGCTCAAGTTCCATGTGGATAATTAAGTCAATGTAAGTCTTTTATTATCCAATCAGTCTTGTGTAATTAGGTCCTCTCTGATCTACCAGTGTGCAAACAGTTGACACTTTACTTTGCTACAGAACATTCTTTGTTTGATCCTATTCCATCAAGCCACTGAGTTGGTATCTGTAATCCATAACCCAGGCAATCCTGTGTGGCTGAGAGTCTCATGGGATCAGCCTAGCGGGATCAGCCTAGCATGATCAGCTGGAGATCAGCATCCCTTCTAGGCAGACAGACACTTGTATATGCACCAGCCTCGTCTGGTGATTGTGGCATTTGATGTGCTCATATAGCCTGTACCTCATGCATTTTGCCAGGGTTTCAAAAGTTCACACATCATGGTGGCTAAATCCTGTCTGACAGTGGTTCTATGCCCTATAGTAGGGTGACCAGATAATCCCTGTCAGGGAGGACACTCTGAGGTAGTGCAGGATTTATAAACTAACATTTCACTAGATTTCACTGACACATTGAGTTCTTGCTGTGTGCTGATTGGTCAGCCTCCTATAATCATGCACGTCACTAATGCCAATGTGAAACAGCTGGAATCTTGTTAAATCTTTCAATCAAGGAAACAAACCAAAGCATAAGAAGAAATCAACTATTTAGCGCAGGAGCCTTTCAGAGATTATATACACACAGACACACACACACATATGCACACACACACAGTTTTAAAGTAAAGCTTCAGTTTTAAAGACTAACATTGACTTTCTTTCAGTTTAAATTAAAACTTTTAAAGTAGTTTGTAGGACCTGAAGTAGCTTATAGTGTCCCCCTGACGTGGATTAGGTGGACCACCCTACCTATAGACTTGGAACAAGAAAGACCATAAAACATCTGTGCAGAACATCTCCATCCAAGCCTTTCAGCCAGAACTCTTTGGTGTAACTGTTTGCCTGACTCTAGGTAATGGAAGTGGGCATTTACCTTGTGGTCAAACCCGAGCTGGAAATGGCCATAGATTCTGAAGCTAAGCAGCTGCTGAACAGAAGGTAACACTGCAGACTTACTGAGCCCGAGACCCAGGTCCTGCATGTGTGACGGAGAGTTACCTCCCACTGCTGGGGGGAGCTCACTGCAGCTGGGTCACTGCCCCCGTCAGCCTCTGGTGGAGCGAGGTGCCTCTGAGGCCACTGGGTGCAGTGAGGCTGCTTGCATGACACCCGCTGAGGAGACGTGAGCAGGCTTTCTATTTAAAGTACCGCTTGCTGTCGTCTCGGGTTTTCTGTCAGTAAATTAAAAGGTCAGTAAAAGGTCTGGACGGCATCTTGAAGATGTAAGCAAATTCACAAAATATTTTAGGGGGGCACATGGCTGTGACTCCGGGGAAGAGGCAGCCTTCTGGTGGCAGCAACCGGCAATGACGATCCTGCTGTTCTCCCACGCCAAAGGGCGTGATTTGGAGACCCCCCCCCCCAGCGAAGGAGGCATGGTAAACTGACAACGGCCTGCTGGTTGGGCCAGGAGCAGCGGTGACTGTGACTCCTTATACTCAGCTGGTTGGGCCAGGAGCAGCGGTGACTGTGACTCCTTATACTCAGCTGGTTGGGCCAGGAGCAGCGGTGACTGTGACTCCTTATACTCAGCTGGTTGGGCCAGGAGCAGCGGTGACTGTGACTCCTTATACTCAGCTGGTTGGGCCAGGAGCAGTGGTGACTGTGACTCCTTATTTTTACTCTCTGTACCTGAAGTAGCCTCCTCTGAGCAGAGCCTTCAGCACAGGGTCTCCCCCTCAGTCAGGCTCCTTTACAGAGGTGCCACAGGTGCCACTCCCCAGTCAAGACACTGTCCATCTCTGTTTGACAGGGGCGGGTGCCCCCCCTAACTTTCAGGTACTTAATCTAATAGTCTAATCTTAGCCTCATATCTTCACTTTTACATGTGGATCTTTTCAGTGAACAGCTGCCCTTCGTATCAGCTGCTGACTGCAGTTCGGTACAGTCTGGGCGTCTTACTCAGGAATGCACTTCTCTGTAATCAGTGTGAACAACTGTACTGCATGTGACTGTGTTTAGGGTGTTTCTGGACTAGATTTCCCACTGGGATTTGTGGGGTTTAACACGGCACTTGTGTTTGCTGAGGCGTGTCACAGCATCACTGTTAACAGTTATTCATGTTCTCAGCGTTTCATGAGGACACGCCTGAATGCTGCTTCTCCTCATTCCCTGCAGATCGTCTTCCGGAAGATCGCTGACGTGAAGAAGGAGGAGGAAGAGCGTCGGAGGCAGAAGAACGAGGTGACGCTGACCATCCCGGTGGACCACCCAGTCAGGAAGCTCTTCCAGAGGTTCAAGCAGCAGAAGGAGATGCGCACGCAGGCCTCTGCGCAGCCAGATGTGGAAAAGAACCAGCTGCAGGTGGAGCACCACCTGCACACACACCAGCACCACCCCCTGCAAGCAGCACACCCACCCATACAGAACGGTGCTCCCTCCAGCACCGCGGTGGTCACTGTCTCGCAGATCACGCCCATACACAACTCTCTGGCCTTTGTCGAGCAGACGGACGTTCCCAGCGAGGGCAGAGGTTGCGACGTGATGGAGCTGAAGCCCGGAGTGGGCAGCCGGTCAGCCTGCCAGGGGGGGGCCTGGGCCGGGAGCCCCGTGCGGCTCAAGGCGCCGAGCAGCCGCGGCTGGATGCGCTTCCGCAGTACCATGGCTCCCGCAGAGGAGAAGAAGGAGGAGTGGGGCACGATATTCCAAGCGGAATCTGAGGAGCTGCTCTCCGAAGACGGCAAGGGCCAGGAAACGGAGGGCGGGGAGACAACTGAGGGCGGGGAGGCTACTGAGGGCGGGGCTGAAGCCGAAGCCGACCCCAAGACCCTGCTGCACAAGACGGACTCTTGCGACAGCGGCATCACCAAGAGCGACCTGCGGCTGGACAAGGTCGGCGAGGCCCGCAGTCCCCTGGAACCCGGCCTGCCGGCACCCAGCCCCGTGCCGAAGGAGGAGCGGCTGCAGCCGCTTCCGGAGCAGACCCTGCACGCCCTCCTGCAGGAGGCCAAGCTGGAGCTCCGGGGGGACATCAAGATGCTGGGCGGCCGCATGGCCGCGATGGAGGCCCAGGTGGCCGAGATCCTGAGGCTGCTCTCTGAGAAGAAGCAGCCTGCGCGGGTCACCCCCCCCAGAACCAAAAGCAAACAGCAGGACATTTTCACCGTCTCCCGGCCCGTCACTCCCGACTCGGAGAAGGACGACGGACTATTCTGAATTCAAGAAAACTCTATTTGTTGGTTTGTTTAGTTATTTATTGGTTTATATTTAAAAACAATTCTTCTCCCATAGACGGAGTGCAAGAAAAAAAAAAGATTTGCAATGGCCCGACTTTTTCTCTTGTAAATATCTACCTGCATGTCCAGACGGATTCTGGTTCGCCAAAGAAGCCCACAGATGGTAGTGTTTGCCTGGTCATATATGCAGTTCACTGCATGCGAAACTGATTTACAAATGAATACTTTTACTGACACATCCAGGGACTTAAAGCTGTTTCACTGATGCCGATATTCATGAATCAATTCAGGGTAAAAGTCACACTAGTTTTTTTTTGTTTGTTTGTTTGTTTCATCTCTAACCACCTGCTTGGCCCAGTCACATCACAGGAGGAAGGTGTTCAGATACACACATCAAACAGAAGGGAATCCCAACAAAACTGCTTCTGAAGACTTCAATGAACATTCTGGAATCGTTATTGTAGCATGGGCACGATGGTGGGAGAGACGTCATTTATGTACAATACTCCCGTGTGTGCAGGAGTATTGTGGCCGACAGCCAGACGCTTCCATGTAGCGGTTTTCAGTCAGAATGAATTAACCTAGAGGCATTGCTCTATTGAATTTCTGGTGAAGCTCGTCTGAAGATAAAATGAGCAGGCTTTGCTACACTAGACAATGTGGAGGTGCTCCATTGTCTAAAAGGTCGTTGAACTGAGGAAAGTGGTGAAACTGACCAAAATGTCGGCATCTTTTCCAGTATGAACCGTACACTTTATTGCATTTTTATGTATTTTGATCAGTGTATTTAATATATACCTGCAGACTTAGGTGGTTTACGGTAAAAGAATTTGGTCAAGAAGGACTGCAGTAAAATTTCAGTCGACAGAAAAAGTGCAGTTTTTAGTCTAATTGGAAGCTACATCTATGTTTATTTTATGAATGAGATCCCTGAAAATAGCTGTGTGTCAGTGAAGTAATCTCTCGTCTTGCTTCGATCCTGTTCACACAGGCAAGGAATTTGCACATAGGGAAGGGGGGGGGGGGGAGTCTTATCATAACTATTAATATCCAAGCAAAGCTGCATGTCTTTGTACAGAAGGATGTGGATTGAGTATGCAGATACTTCTTGAAGACTCTCAGGTACTATTCTTCAAATCAAAATTGATGTCTAAACCATGTAATGCCTGCACTTTCAGAACTCTGATAGTCCTTACGGTCATTCATGTCATAGATGGAAGCAGCACCTCTATCACAGACCAGCACCAGAAGACAAGAGGTGGGGTGTAACAGAGACTTTATGTCGGATCAGGAGCCAAAGCTCCCCCTCGAGTCTCTGCACAAGGTCGGACGCTGGAGGCCACCAAAGCAAATTAGCTTTTGATTTTGGAGAAGGAGGCAGATTGGAGACCGATGACTTGCAGATCTCAGCTCTGGACACATGCGTGTGAAGAGGTGCAGCAGCCAGGGAGATTCTCTCTGTAACCATGGGCCAGAGTTCCCAGTCGCCAAAGCACAGCATTTACCTTGATGCTGGTTTTCACTTAGGTATGAGTTGATGACAAACACCCAATTAATACACTTAGATAATCTGGTCATCTTTTTACTGGAGGGAAGTAGGGATTATAATTAATACACACAAAACTTTCATTTTTAAAAGCACATAAGTAAAGAAGCAAATTTTATGTTCATATTGTTTTCCATAAATGTTTTGGTTAGTCTGCTTCTCTCCAGTCCCTGCAGACCAGTGGTGCAGCCCCACACCAGCAGGACTGCCTCTGTCCTGAGTTTATAAACTTGGCAGGCTCTTTGGTCTTAATGGGAGATATTTCGGTTCAAGCCTTGAAGAATACTGTACGTACAGCACCAGGCAAAAGTCTGGACACACCTGCTTTTAGATGAATGCATTTGTCTCTATTTTAGCTATGTTACTCTCTTTTTAGTAAAAGGCTTCGAGGCAATGGGTCTCAAAATTTTCTCAAATATTAGACTCTTCAAAATAATCCCCTTTTTTCTATAGCAGCGTTGCAGACTCTTGGCATTCTTTCATCCAGCTTCCAGATGTAGCCACATGGAATGCTCCTCCAACAGTCTTGAAGAAGATCTGGGCACAGTCTTATTCTTACTCTTCAATCCAATTCATCCCAAACCAGCTCTGTAGAGTTTAGGTGGGGAGATTGTGGGGGCCAGGTTATCTGTCACAGTACTCCATCTTTCTCCTTGGTCAGGTGTGCTTAGGGTCATTGTTTTGTTGACAAACAACTATTTATAAGTAGGTGTGTCCAGACTTTTGACTGGTGCTGCAGTTAGTTTGGACTGCAGTGGTGAGGGAAGCAGACCAATGGCTGACACCACTGGCTGCAGACTTCATTCTCTGGATCATGTTCTCTTTTGTAATGTCACACACTATGCAGCCTGAGGGGGGGGCTCCCCCATTGTGGAGGGGGTATGGTCACCTTCCCAGGCCCATGAGAGATTAGTGCATGTTTTTGCATGCCAAAATGTGTTAACAAAGGTTCCAATGAAAACATAATATACCTTGTACATAGAATGGCTTAGAGATTTAAATACCATACACCTGCCTGAACTTTTACATGATAACTGGACAGAACATGGACTTATCAAGTTTAAAAGTAAGTTCTGTACTCCTTCCTTGACTGACTGGTTTGGTTCTTTTCAACCAATGGGGGAGAGAGATCCATCCCCAGGCTAACACAAGCAGGCCCTCTCTACCTCCCGACTGGAGGGGGGCAGGTACAGGGGACTCCCTTGAGGTGACCACCCAGAACCTTCCGTCTCAGGGCTGCACTTCCAGTAGTTTCAGCATCCTGAACTGGCCCCAGTCGTTTGAATGTACGCTCTCTTCCAGAATATGGGCCAATTAGTTCCTGTGTCACTTGTGGGGAACTCCAGTGCAAGGCCTTCAGGGTGTGCTGCTTTGCTGTTCGAGCTCCTAATTAGATCATCTAGGTATTCATTGGGATAAAACCTCACCTGGCCTAATATTTCAAGGGACATTCAGTGTGGAGTTCAGCTGTCTGCACATCCTACTCCCCTCAAGGGTTACTCCCCAACTCAGCACTGTCTGAAGACCAGATGTGTCTTTGATTATGCTCAGCATGCAGATGTACAGCCTACATGTGTCTCTCCTGTGGCGAATGTTGATGCTTCACTAGAGGTTGGCAATCCATTCTCCTGATGTCAGCAAAAGGGACTTTGCCTCAGCCTGTAGCCTATAAGTCTTTGTGACCCTTGCTTGGTTTTTTACTGGAATGTTGCTGTTTTATACATTTTCAAGTACCTTTGACACTCTAAGAGTTGTATTGTTTTTGCAATGATGCAATACTTGAGTATCACCTCAATAAAGTAACGTCTGATATGAAAGCCTAGATTTTTAATAGCCTGTCTTCCTTCATGTCCTTGCTACTCACCTCTAGGAATGGGGCAGCGGTTGAAGTTCATGATAATGAACACAAATATCAACTTATACTGACCCATATAATGCATTATGAATGTATCTATAGTGCATTATAGATGGGAGTTTCATATAGGATTCATAATGAATAATAATCATGACCATAATGTGTTGTCTTTATAAATAGTTATAGCAGTGTTTATAATACTTTACGAATGTATTATAATGCATTATGAAGGTACCTATAATGCATTATGATGACTGCTTTAATGACTGCCACACGATGCAGATGGATTCTGTGACATTGTTCATTTTGTTAAATGCCCGTTAGCAACAACAGGGCTGTGGTGCTCAGGGTCTCTTATAAAATTTTTGTGTTTTCCTCTGACTTTGCTCCCCGCCGGATTCTTCTGGAGTTTTGCTTGAGGGGAGCGTTTATTCCTGGCATGACCTCCTGTAAGTTGGGACGGTGAAACTGCAGCGTCCCCATGTGACAGCAGGGGCAGGAAGTACCTCTACATCATAAACATAAACCTGTGTGGCTCAGTGGTGTCACTTTGGTCTCTCACCTCCAGGCTTGGGGGGGTTCCGCTCCCATCCTGGGCTCCCTTTCCTCCCAAAGGCAGAAAGTATGTGCTTAGTTGAATTTGTAAATCTGCTAAGAGTACAGGCTGTGCATCCTTTCCAAGAAGTCAGCCCTGGCTTGTGCCCTGGCACTGTGTAAGTGGTCATGGAGATGGATGGAAAAAGCCACAATCATCTATCAGCAGATCAAAGTACTCACAGGCCGAAAATGACTTCCATTCCATTTCAGAAACATACAGCCTACATTTAGTAGTGTTTCAGTCCTGCAAGTGTGGCTTCTGAATGCACAAAATATATATGTATACAGTACCAGTCTAAAGTCTGGACACACCTACTTTTAATGTGTTTGTCTCTGTTTTACCATCATTCACCTTATATTAAAAGACCTCGAGCCAATGAAGTGATACATATCAAATACGGCAACGGCCGTATTTTCTCAGATTTTAAACTCCTCAGTATTTCTTTGATGACAGCATTGCAGAGTCTTGACATTCTTTCATCCAGATGCAGCCATCTGGAATGCTTCTCCTACAGTTCTGAAGGATTTTTCACAATTTCTAGGCACAAGTTGGTTACTTTGCTCTTGCTGTTTGATCCAACTCATGCCAAACCAGCTCTGTAAGGTTTGGGCTCGGGCCGGTGTGGGTGCAGGTTTTTTCGATGGCCTCTAGATCAGCCCACACCCACACTGGCCCTCCATGGAACAGGTTCCCCGCCCGTGGATTAGGGAATTGTGGGGCCAGGTCATCCGTCACAGCACTCATAGTGCTTACATAACCTCTAGCTACGCTTAGGGTCATTATTGTTAGGTTCATGTATTAAATTGGAACTATTTTATGTTGCGTTATGATACAGGTGATGCGTAGCGTGGATCTGCGCATCGATGTGACAGATGATTAACTGCACTGCATGTAGAGCCACAGAGAATGTGTGTGTATGGCTGATACCCAGTAAAAATCTGCGTTACCAAAAGTTGGCGTTTTGTAGTACTTATCCTGTTGTGAAAATGGACAAACACAACAGTTATTTTAGGGTCATTTTCCTGTTGAAAAACAAATGTTCAGTGGAGGTGTCCAGACACTGGTGCTGTAACCCGTGGCATGTTTTTCAGTCTTTCTCCATTTTCTGCCTACTTATGCAATTTCTCACATTATCGCTACTTTGGCTACAACAACGGCTACAAAATCGAGAAAGAAAAGCATATAACTAACTAGCAATCAGGCACAACAGAAGTGACAGGTGGCACCAGACTTCACCCCACCAGCAGACACCCATGCCTGTGCGCCCGCTGTCTTCCAGCAACCCAGTAAAACCACAGCTACTTCCTGACGTCACTGTGTCACATCTCCAATCATCAAGCCTCCCAGGAGAGGCCATCACCAAGGAACATGCCCAGTCACTAAAGCAGAAGCTGTTGGTAGAAATACTACCTGAGAGTGACAGCCCCACGATGGCTGTGGATTGGTGAATGCGAAGTTACCGGCGGCGCACACGGTCACGCAAGAAAAGTGTGCAGTGCTCTTTGTGAAAGTGAGTCACAGGCAAACATTGTGCACTCTGTCCATACTGTTAATGCCGTCACACCAACCATCTGTATAATCATCACAGCAATTCCAGTACCGTTGCTGTTTTGTACAACATTAAGGTCATACTGGTTGTAAAAACCTAGGAGAACAATACTTCTGACGTGACAGGTACAAGCGTAGTTATGCTGAACAATAGGATGCAAAAGATTTTTTAATCCAGGGAAATGAACACATTAATGGTTAAGACAGAGGACAGAGTAGCGGTTCTAAGCTCTTACAAACGAAAGCTACAGACGGCCATGAGCAGCTCTTCGTGAATGACAGTGATGGTGCCACTAAAGGGATCGAATGAGGAACCCTCGTCACCAAAAGATGATTTTCTATTTCTGGCTTGTCTCACTGGCATCGCTTCGGGATACGTCCGCAAATGTCTGCGTTTTCTTTCTGAGAGTGCTGCTCTGGGCTTTAGGGTGGGGGCTCTGTCCCAGTTTGACAAAACCAGATGACAGGAAGTGTCCCCTGTACGAGCATCTGGTATCATTTTGTTTAGTTATATTTAATAAATGTGTCACAATAATAGATACACATTTTATTAAAATTAAGTCGTTCCACAGTTATTGTTGTATATTACATTTCCTACATCAGATTTATTATAAATAAATTATTATAAATACGTGTATTTATTTTAATACAAAAACCTCTTAAATAATAGCTTTACAAATGATCTGATGATCTATTACCGGCTGGTGTGATTCAGAATGCAAAGCACTCTCAGCTGTTTGTGTATGTCATTTATGCAAACATCAGTCCAAAAAGGCTTAGTAAATACTACCTATTTCAAGTTTCTTGAAAATAAGAACTTCCTCTTTGTTTATAAAGAAAAATAATAGATATTCTGTTCCTTCTGTCACAATCTCGGAAGGTTCTGGCACGGGTACGGAGATGGTGCAGGCCGGAAAAGGTGGGCGATACACTGGCGGCTCGCAGGAAAAAGGGGTTTATTAACGAAACTGAACACACTAGGAAAACTACAAAGCAATGGACCACAAGGGGTCAAAACGAAAAAGGGGAAAAACAAAGACTAACTACAAAAAGGTCAGAGCAACAAGGAGCAGGCAGTCAGGGAACAAAGAACAAATATAAAACAACACAGGGTAACATCTAACATTCAGAAACACTCATGAAATACATTATTGACATTCAGTGACCTACTGGGAAACTGAACTGAGGCAGTAATTTAAGTACAGAGGGATTACAAGAATAACGCAGAACAGGTGGGAACAATTAACAAGGGCTGGCAAAACAGGCAACAGGTGAAACAACTAATTAAGTCAAGGGACTCAGAAACTAACAGGGAAACTAAGAACTGACAAAGAAACAAGGAAATGGAATCTAAACACAGGGAAAATAACAAAGGCAGGTAAAACAGAACCAAGGCAAAGCAAAAACCCAAAACGGAAAACAAACTACAAAATCACAGGAACTAGAAAAACTGATAAATGAAACACTAGGGAATAAAATAGAAAAAGAGAGAAGGCAGGATTTGAACACAAGACTACAGGGCCGGGTAGCCACATGCTCAACTCATTGAGCCATGTGGCTATGTGGGGAGCAGGGGAAACACACTAAATACTTTAACAACAAGGAGGACAGGATGGCCAGCGACACCTGCTGGCCAAACGGGGAGAGGACACGAAAGACTGGGACAAACAGGTGCTGACCCTGACACCTTCATGGAACAATTAAAGTATAAAATTGCCATTCTTGGAGTAATTGGTTACTGTGGGCTGCCATCTCTGGCCACTGCAGGCTGGAGGAGGCGCCTCTGACATCCAGGGCCAGATCTCAGGCCAGGGGTTGCAGTGGAGCAATGAAGTCAGGCTGTTGCCCTCAGAAGATCTAGGGTTTAGGGATTGTGCTACGATGCTTAATGTGTCTTCTGTGTGCACATTTGAAGAACCCGGGGTTATGCAAAGAAATCCATCCTGAAAGAGTCTCTCTGCAGCTCAAGAGATGATATTATTGCAAAAAATCTCTGCTGTTCATTTGTTTTGTACCACCCTGGAGGAATCCTGGCAAAGCTGACGTAGTTATAAAGCAGGTCTCCATAGTAACAGCAACACCTTCCACGTTTATACTTTTTTCTCTTTTTTCTGAATGCCCTGCTGGAGGATCCAAGGGCGAGGAACCTTCCAGCCATTGTGTTGCTAGACAGGGTTGGATAAACACATCATGGAGACAGTTCATATGCTATGTGTGATGGACACACAGCCCTCCTCCACAAGCACAAACTGGGCCATGGGTATTTTGCGGAAATTTGTTCAGCCAGATTCCAGCCACTTATCCCATACAGGGTCATCAGGGGGGACGGAGGTAGGGGCCATCATACAAGCAGTCACTCAGGGCCACTTAGAGACAGCAGGTTTCCTAGCCGCCTGCCTTTGGACTGTGGGAGGATGTCCATGCAACACAGAGAGGAGATCCGAACTCCACAGGGAGAAAGGCGGCAGAATGCAGGCAGCTAAAGCCAAAGGTGTGAAGCATATGTGCTACTTAGTGAAATACAACGTAGCCCTTTCAGAGTTATCCGTCTCATTTGGACAGGAAATACACACATTTCTATAATATAGCAAACACTAAAAGTTTCAGTGACAATTTAATTCTCCATTTAAGAGGGAATATTGTACAGAATATTTTAGATCATGTCAACCGTCAGCTCACAGTCATTAAGTGCAGTTCTGTGCAAACTTACAAGACACTGTTAGAATGTGGTCAACAGGCGTATCGGACTCAAGTGAACCAAACCCAGGGCTACAAGGATGGAGGTTCGGGCCAGAAGCTTGGAAACAGGCCCAGCC